TGTCCTAAAGTGAATCGCGCATGCGTCGTGGAAAAATGTACCGCGAAGACCGTGGAGAGTAGAGCAGTGTCGTCCATATACTTGACGCAGACTGCAGGCAATTTGAAAAGGCATTCCTTACTGTAGTGCACAAAGAGGATTAGACGGGAGGTATGACCCTTGAGGTGTTCTGAATTTAAACAGCTGTGTGGCTGAAATTCTTCTTATGACGCAAACGCATTGGTCCAGTTGGGAAGAATAAATATTCAACAAATATAAAATACGCGGATTCACTCTAAAGTTTGCCAATGCATCACCTGTTTCTCGCTCAAAAAGTGCTATTTGTCTAGTTGAAGTGCATGAACTGAATCAAATGATGGAGTATCATTTTTCGTGATTTAATCTATGGTATTCTAACCTTTATTCAATCCGAGCTGGTACAGATCATTGACTGCATGACATATTCCTGCATTAAAGGAAAGTAGATTTGTTTAGGCTTTGAAATTAACAGGAGACACCGCAATTGATTTCCATTCTTTAGGACTGATCAGACCAGCATATCTGGGAATTGTAGTTTTGCGGATAAGTTTCCGTTCTTTCGGAAATTATGTCTCATACAGACCCATTTCTGAAAGTACCTCAGATAGCTTACAGGAACAAAACCTATCGACAAGTGGCAAAAATTTGTCTTAATTACATTGAAGACACATGGCACATTCTCTTTTGAGAGAGCGACAGGATTCAAATTTCAGGTAAGCGCTCGATCTAACTGATAATGAACTTCCTTGCCATACAGTAGGATAAGCTAATTACATTCTTCCAATTCATTGGTTAATTTTCTGCACTTTCTTATTTGCATTTGACTGTAACGCTGTATGTGAACGGTTCTGACGATAGGAAACCTAAGCCTACCAACTAGCACAAAGAATTACGCCGCTTTAAAAACCACTGCATTGCTGAAGAGGCGGCTAATGTTACGTCACAGTTGTGTTTACTGCCATTTGTCTCGAAGATTTGAGAGATTCTCGAATTTTCATTGGTTGACGCGTTGTACGGTGCGTGTAAGAGGTTCGCTAGACGTAGTCGACGACGACTCGGCGTTTTTGCTGCAGCAGAGCAGCGTATGGCATAAGCAACGTCATTTGTCGGTTTTCGAACCGCTGTGGCGTTCGACACGCGGTGGTGAGACGGCGACGGTCGGCAGACGACGGTCAGTCATCCGTCCAGCTCCAGCTCTGCCATCTGGCGACCAGCAGCCATGGACCGACCGGACCGACGCCGCGGCGTTCGCCTCCGTCTTGGCTGCGTCGTGTTAACGATAGCCGTGTTTGATTGTGATAGCCACCAACCCCCACCGTCATCAAACACGTTCGCAGTTAGCAAACACGTTCGCAAACAGTGGTATCGTTATCGTGGCAGCGGTTAACCTTCGAAGCCGTCGTAAACTTTTCACCTATATTTATAGCCACATCAGACAGAAAATAGACGACATTTTTGCTGCAGACGTGGCGCCGACGCCATCGCTGCTCAACTGGTTCGAGCGGCGGAGTATTAGATGCCCGCTTTTCCGCAAATGCTCGTGCACAAGCTCTTTGTACTTTCGCGAGACCTGCGTCAGGTGACAAACTGACAACGCGCCACAGAGGGCGTTGCTTATCGACTTACTCTTCGTGCCATCGGCTGGCCAATCAGCGACCGACAACGGTGCAAGACGCACGTACAGTAAGACCTTAAGCAATGTTCCAGGCACAATTTCCAAACTTGTTGACTTTTTAAAAGATTGTTCATCGTGGCACGCTTTCTGATAGTGTAATTGTCCTGTAGTAAATAAACAGTAAGGCCTAGGTTATTTAGCATTATCAATCATTACTAATCGTATATGAACGTCTGGCGAAATCGCCATTTGCTGCCACGCAAATTTGCCACGTAAGGAACAAGGACGTCGCTGCCTCACTGTTGGCAGCAGCGTATGCAAGAAGTTGTTGCCGGCTGTACGTTACTCAAACTGAAACGTCAATCAAACTGATAAGTAATTTCGAAAAGTTAACCGTTGCGGTGCTACTGACGTCTGAAAATGATCATTTACTTATTTTATGCTAGTGACTCAAAGAAATAAACACGTTATATTCAGCGAGCCGACGTTTTCATCGATCGCACATCGTCATCAGGTTACAAAGTTTACCTAATGACTGCAATAATAAGTGAGCCTGCGACTACTTTTCATATCATCATTGGTAAAATCACAAGGTTGGCAGTAGGATCATTGTGCCAGAGAACTGAAGTTTGTTTAGCACTGCCATGCACTCTCTATTCTTAGGCCAGGAGAGAAATGAGCACCGTATGGCGCGTAATTTGAGTCGTTAGCATGCTGCAGCTTTCAGGAACAAAGACACTTACGAGCTAACACTCTCATGCCCTGACCGGCTAAACCTCATGCTTTTGGACCACTAGCTATTTTCCCCGTCGATGCGCTGTTGCCAGATTACTTTGCGGCGGCTTACCACCGCTGTGATCTTCACTCTGAATCCCAGCATGCTGGAGGTCATAACCCGTTTAAGAGCCAGTGACTAACTTTCGCCCCTTCTCTACTCAACATGGTTCTCCGCTCAAATGCGGTGTCATGAGACAGCGGGCAGCTGGGCCTAGTAACAGAGTCTACATCGCATATGACATTTTTCAGTGTTTTATTAGACTTACTTCTAGCCAGGACCTCCCTCACCGAGATCGTATCACATTATCCACTGGCTTTCATAGAACTTGCAAAATGACTAACATAATGAACGCAGTATATACCGTACAACACTGACTTTGAGATTTGTTCGTTTCACTTAAATTTTGATCTGTTTCTGAACAAGTCAAAGTTGCTAGTTTACTTTTGTTATTCTACAGCGCATCAGTGAGTACGCTCAATCCAAACCGTCCGTTACGTACGTAGTTACAAATGAGCATCCATTTCTTCAACACTACATTGTCATCGAATCAGCCATTTTGAAAAATTGGGCAAAATAGCCGCCCCCGCAATCAGTAGCAGGAAATGCACTGAATGTCGTAAAATCAGTTAAATTGCAATCATTACGAAGCCACCAAGTCTATTTTGTGTGGATATCATACGCTCAGTAAAGTCAGTTCTTCTTCAACCAGATTATAGGCAAGCCTAAAGCGAATTTGAAAAACGCCAAAGTTGGTTAATTCCAGAAATTTTTGGCACAGATTCAATATTGATATCATTGCCTTTATTACCTATATCTTGCAATTTACTTTAAGTTCTACAAACATGCGGGAAAAAATGGCGAACATTCACCGCTTAAGAGGTTCATTTCTTTCATTAATTTTTCACTAATACTGACATTGAAAACTAACCTTGCCGTTTCCAGCAACGCTCACTGTTTCCACAGTTATATTAATCGAATTGGACTGATATGGTTAATTAGCCTTGGACAATTATCATATCATGTCCATAATTACGTTCAAAGTAAAGCTTGCATCCAAGGCATAAAGCTACATAATGATCAAATTAGCTTTTGTTTAAACTAATTTCTGTTGAGTAGTCTCAGTTAATAAATTGAATTTTCTCTAAATGCCAATGTAACCTTATAGGCGTGCCTTCTAGTAGAAGATTTTAGCGTATCTTGGAACTAATGTTAGGTGAAAGGTTGTTATTGAACTTTGAAATGAGTTAATTTTATTAAATAAAACGGGTATTTTATTTATTACACTATATTTTTGATTTAACGGACCATTTGAGGGACGGGTGGCCATGAAATCAAGAAGTACACTAAGTTAAAATGTCAGTAAAATAGAGTCTGTATGAAATCAGGGGCTGCTAATATATACCATTAACGTCAGGGCTGTCTTGTTTATGAGTAAAACAATAAATTTCCCATATTTGTTGTCTTAATTGTTCATTTATTACGAAGACTTCATTCGTTGCGAAAATTAAACATCGATTTTAAAAGGAAAAACGCTACATTATTATGTCTATTAATCGTCGAAAGAGGAATCATGTTGCCATTTTCGATGTTTACTATCGGTTCTGCTGAAAGATTGACACAGTCTAAAGAGGAGATACGACTTTAGGATATTTGGATTTTGGTTTCGTTAATTGAGTTGAAGAAAGCACTCAGTTTCAGCTCTGTTTCTGAATGTTGTTGCTCAAGAATAATAATTTTTCTAAAAGTTTGGAAATGAGAATGATACAGCTGAACTTCAGGATCAGGTGATGAGTCAATAAACGAGACCAAATCTTCAGGATGAAAACGTAATTGAAAGTTTCATGTGTGCTTATTGGTAGTCTTTCATCATGATCATCATTTCTTTCATAGTCTGTTTTATCGCAAATCAAAACTTTTTCAACGATCTCCCTCTGTCATCACTTGATAACCAGGATCGCTTCGCTTTCATTTTGCTGGAGCCACTGCAAAATAGAATCTTCTGAAGTTTTCATTATTTAAAAGTAAAATTTTTGCATTTTGCACTGTGCAGGTGTCAGGCTGGCAGATTCGTCCACAGTAGCAACCGTTCGTATATGTAATTTTATTTTGTAACGACGATGTCACTCCAAATCACAGCAAATTCGTCTTTGTACCGTACTTCGCTGAGGAAGTACATAAGTAGTACAAACGCAGCAATGGACAAACAAGAATTAAATACCGGTACCAAAACTAAAAGGGAATAATTTTGCTGTTAAATCTGAAGTCCGTTAGATCGAGCATAAACTGCATTTAAATGAGTTTAGGAAGTACTGGCGATAGGCATTTCGGATATATTCGAATTTTCCGTGCTGCGGGAAATTATTAGTAGCTGCTAATTCTCTTGTAGAAAGAATTCTTCGCACTTTACCTCTGTGCTGCCAGCCACGATATGCGAATAACAAATCGTTTATCTACCAACAATCCAATACTGTGAAGTGTTCTATCGTGGTCATGGTAGAGTATGCGAAACTTGCCCCCATACCTTCTGCTGAGCTTCCTGGTTGCATGTAGCTACATTTGGCCCTATAGCCTAGCCCCGATGATGCTATAGTCTATGTATCGAAATACTTTGGTAATAAAGGCTTTACCACTTGTTGCATTTGGTGCCTTGAACCATGAATCGTTCAACCACCTAGAATCATAACTCTGAAGTCTTATATATTTTGTTCGAGTTTCTCCTTTCTCAGCCGATACATCGGACATGTTCAGCGGCACTAGTTGTTAGGGTGATTCCCCTATTTAAATGTGACTGAATTGTGCAGTCGCTATATGTGATG